ATCCACCACCACCACCACCTCCTCCTCCTCATCATCATCTTCTTCTTCTTCACTGTAAAAAAATTTACAATACTTGAAGCCAATCCAGTAGAGCATATAAGCTTCAACATGAAATCTTAGCTTAGAACACATTGACCAATAAAACAAGAAAACAGTTGCATAATTGCTTAGGGAAGTTCATGTTTAAATTTCTCAGTTTGATGAATTCTAAACACAGTTGTTCTTCACTACTGCAAGATATTTTACCTAAGGGCTAAAGCTTAAAATACGTGAAGTCAAAATCAAGTAGGGCATGCAAACTTCATGATGATCCACGTATTCCTTCAAACCAAATGCATCTTGACACTGTAAAAGGTGCACATTTAGAATGGCACTTACCTGAATAAACCTTGAATAGTGAAGCTTTATATTTTCTTAGCTTGGAGTAATATTGATGAAATCCAAGAGAGAAGCAAAGTGAACTTTGGTTCCAGAACATTCCTTACAATTTCTAACAAAGAAAACGTCATACCCTCTATTTCTCTAAATAAATACTCCTATAATCTAATAATGTCTTCCCCCCCAGTTTTCTGACACAGGTGTATTCCAAAAGCTGCAGGCTTTTACTTCTTTCATATCTACAAAATCTTGAGGTCTCACATTAAACATCCAACTACATATTTATTTCTTACTACCTCTGGTTTTAATACTAATGAAAGTCTTATAATTAGGATTAGAGGTAATATTATATTAGCATTTCACATGTAGAATTCATTTTCCTTATCTAGCTGCCAATTTTGGCTGGACTAGACTTCACATAATGGGAAGTCTCACCAAAGAAGTAAATAAAGAACAAAGGAAAGAGAGAAGAAATATACTTGTTTAGAGAGTCTATCTCTTCCCTGGCCGTTGAATTCATTCTAATGTAGCCACCTCCAAAATAATATACAACAGCTTCTCAACAATAAAATTATCAATAAAAACTGCAGCTTAATTAAATCTTAAAAATACAGTACCATAATGTCCAATAGTAGAGGGAACTAGACGTTGGAAGTGTGGTACACTTTAGAAAAGGGCAATAAATGGCAAATAGTCATTCATATATATATATATATATATATATATATATAGTCGTGTGAATTATTTTATTAGAAAACAAACCAAGAAAAAAGAATGTTAGAAGTAAAGAAGGAATCCGAAGGCGTCTGATGATAAAATGTCTTTCCTCAACAATTCAGTTACAGGATACCGAATTGAACCAAAGATAGTGGACCAGAAAAAGGTACTCTTGAACCCCATAAGAATCTATCACGTAGCATGTATAAGGACAGATTTCCCTGAAAACCGACCCTTCTACTTCATTTAACCTGCCAAAGCCTGTTAAGTAATTTGGAATAAAAGAAGAAAGTAAGGACAAGAAAGAAAGAAAAACTTTCTCCAAGCAAATACACCCCCCATTCTCAAATTAAAACCGGAAAAAAAAGGTCAACGAAGAAACACTATCCAAAAAAAAATTTAAAGATTTGACCCTAGACAGACACGTAAATAGCTGTTGAGAAACCCTGTGAAATTAAGTTGAACTCCTAAAAGATTAGGAGTTAATATTATCCAAAATCTTGGAGCTTATTAATATATAGAACTCTTGATAATCCTTTTGTTGTTGTTTTTAAGAGTTCATCTTGTGTTTGATCCTTATTTTCAAGTATTATATGCAGTAAGAGGGTCGAGCTACTCCAATGTATTTCTTACTTACCCTCCACTTCTGATGTTACCATTGAACCTTAGTTCCCTCACATTTACAATTCCAAATGATTTAAATTTTATCAGCATCCTAACGCATTATTTTAGGTGTGTCCAGCAATCTAAATTGTATTTTGGCGCATTCGTTACTTTAGAATATTTTTCAGACGTATATAACATCATAAATTAATTTTTGGTACATCTAGCATCCTAGCTTGCTAAATGTAAAATTTTACAAAAAAAAAATTTTAGGATGCTAGATGCTTATGAAAAAATACTTCAAGGCACTGGTGCATAAAAAAATATTTTAGAATACTAAATGTGTCTGGAAAAATATTTTAGGGTTGTAGATGAACCTTCATCCTAATTTAACTTCCTTCCTATTGCCAAAAAGGGGGAAAAGCCCTCGAGTGAGTATAAATACCAATTAACTGCTTTGTAAACTATTGCACGCTAAAAAAAGGTAATTAGATTAATGTGTAAAGTAGCAAATAACCTACTTGCCTCCTGAGCTTCACATCCATACTCCTCCAGAACCACTCGCTCCATTTGCTCTCGAGTTTTAACCTCCTCCTCTTCATACTGCAAGAATGAATGTATTAGTTAATTTTTACAAAAAGATTTCTTAACTTTGTCTTGATTCTACGAGGGATTTAGGGGGGGAAAATTAATAATTTACCTCATACGCTTGCTTCCATTCGAATGGAACTTTGTGTTCTCTCATTGTGGTGTTGCCAAAACGCTTCTCATAAAATATGTCTTCCACAACTTATCCGTTACCGGACTCAAATCCGATCCATTCCCTGCGAAACCTTAATTATCAAAATAAACAAAACAATTTAATCTTCTCCCACTTTGCAATCATAATAACTAGCTAGACTTGTCGTATTTATTATTTAACTAACAAGTCCATCCCCTTCCTCATACTTTAACTGGTCCACAAAGCATAACTAAGACTGACTAGTAACTCGATCGATTCAATGGGATTTCAAAGCCAAATCCATTGTATTATATTAAATTTAAAACTGAGCATCCGTACAAAAATATAAATAAATAATTATATAAGAAAATCGCCGAGAGAATGTATGTATTGTTGGAGTTTTAATGTGTGAACGTGTGAAAAGAAATCCCATATTACTCACTCAAGATTGAAAAAACCTTAGTGTTTATTATGTGAATTTAAGCTAATAAAATAACTAAAAAAAAGACTTTTTAGAACAGACTGTTAGCATCGTTGAAACATTTATATGTTTTAATTTGTCATCTTTACTCTTTTATAAGCCAGATCTAATAGTTTTAAAATATTTTAATTCGCCTTAATCAATTGTTTACAAACCATTCTTTTAACTGTCATTAAAACCGTTTTTAATTACCACTATGACAATCCAACGGTCACATCATCTGCCTATACAAGACAATGCATGGTGCATGTCATAGAATGTTGAGTTTTATCCCCGACTTCCTCTTCTAAGTTTCAAATTTTTGTTGCCCTGTGCAGGAAGAGATTGTTTAATTCTAAAGAGTGCAGCATTTTATTCTTACCTTTTGTAATAAAATAACTCTTAAAGATAGTGTTATTACATAACGACTTGAATTATATTTTTATTATTTTTGCAGGTGTTGCCTGCATGTACTTCCACTTTCTGAGCCGTATAATGACCGGAAGGAAGGCGAAGATTCATACTTACAGAGTGGAATTTCTCAGAATCTCTGATAAGGAACGATCAGAGTATTGAGTAAGCCAACGAAAGAAGAATGCATCATATATAGTGGTTAGTTCTAGTCAAGAAACGGAATAAACAAAACGCTTTTCCGAGAAAGCGGGCATTTTGATTTAATTTTTATATCAATTTTTTTTTACCAGAAAATTTTTTTATATCTTATTTAAAAGCCTCGTCGCGTCCCTCATACGTCAGGGTGACGGATTTCTCTCTGCGAGTGTGAGAGCCTTTTACCACCGCCAGGGTCGCCAGTATTTTTCCGACGCCATTTCCGAGTTACCTTATTGTTGTTGTTCATGTGAGTGTCGCTGTAGCCCACTGCGATAGCGTTAAAAAAGAGTGAGAGTGAGTTGGAGAGATTGTTTGGACAGAAAAGGAGAGGTGTTCTCTGGTTTATAGTGACGGAGCGGAGGAGGGGGTTTGGAAACCTCTCAGGGTTCCACGTAATTGGATTTGAACAAGGGGACAGTGGCGACGTTGAAGGATGGAAAACTAGTACGTAATTTTTTGCGAGCAAGAGTTCTTGTTAACAGGTTTCTGGGTATCGCCGCCGAAAAAAGATGATGATTGGACGGAAGTGTATGAAAGATTTCCCAGCTCTTTTATGCTTGGCTCAAAGCCCCTCCACCAAGGTTCATGGAGGAATTACTGGTTCATGAGGATATCCGATGGGGTGAAACTAGAGTCGGAATGGAGAAGACGGCGCGTGTCGTGCCTCCAGTTCGGGGACGCGTAACTGACAGGTTTGGTTGTGATCGTGGAGGTGCTGAGCACCGTGGTGGGACTAACGGCAGTGGCCGTGGAAAAAGTAGACGCGGGCAGAAGGAATACCACGTGGCAGGGACTTTTCTGTGACTAAGGGAGTGTTTGGATAAAAACCAAACTATAGTTTCAGAAGTGCTTTTACGGATTACGAAGTAAATATGTAAAGGAGGTTACCTCGTTTTGCGGAAAAGTGCTTCTGAAACCATGGTTTTGGAGCATCCAAACAGAGCCTAAAATATCCTCAAGGGCTGTAGATTTTGGCAGTCAAGCAGCAGCTTAAAAATCACTCGCAATTGGGTCTCCAATGAAAGTGTTCTACCGCTTGAGCCCACATAGACGGGGAAAGGGGATTTGGTAAGGTGGCTCGGTCATTTACAGTTTGTAATTTCTGCTTAGCTTTTCATGACCATTTTCTCTTCATACTTCCCTTCCTTGATCTTTGACAAGATTTGAAAGCTGCGATCCTCTCAAATTTGTGACAACTAAAGAACGCTCTACAAGGTAGACGGAAGCTTAAGAAATGGTGGATAAACTATTTGCGTCGAAAATTGTGGCATTTGTTTTGTTGATTGACTTTATCTGTAAATCATGGATATTTAATCGTGACTTGGTTTATCAATAATATACAAAAGCTAACACCTTTACCCTAAAAAACCGAAGGTACCTACTAATATAAAATCGTCAACAGCAAAACACACGAAATTCACTTGAGTATATGAAAATAATTTTGTCTCGATTTGCACAAAAATATTTTTTTTAAAGTACCTTATAGGATTTTCAAACACTCTCTGAATCTTCAAAAGTAAATTCAAACTTGAAGAAAGAATGTCATTGTTGGAGATTTCCTACTACTGTTTAGATAACATGACATCTTAACTAAGGAACCAAAAACCGAACCAGTGACTAAACCGATCGAGACTGTAGGTTAAGGGTCACTGGCCGAACCGGTCATATAAAAATAATATAATTTAATTGGCATCATTAAAATAGAACAATCCTAATACCTATTTGAATATTTTAGTTTTAGAATTCCTTCACATGGACGTTTATTCATTGGTCTAGATTTAAAAAATTGAAAAAAACCAAACACAAATTTCAATTTGTGAAACCCATCTCAGCGAAATCCCTCAAGCCTCAAATAAGCTCTTCTTAGCTTTGCGTCAATGGCTACTTGGGTAATTGCAACCCACAGAGACAACGCTAAGATTTACCATGGAGAAGATCTCTGTAAGCACAAGTCGCGCGAGCTACTGTATAAGATTTTGTCTGCCCAAAGGATTGCTCCCCTTGGACAACATCATCGAGGTGGGTCACAATCGCTCCACTGGCTTCGTCTAGCTCAAGCAGAAGCAGAGGAAGGAGCATAGGTTCGAGGCCATTCGACACATTGTTTTGTACGAGTGCAAGGTCACTGCCTTTGTTGAGAAGCACTGATGAGAAAGGTGACTCGAGTGAAGAGCAAGGAGCTATTCTTTTAGGTCACTATCTCCGATATCTTCATCGACGATCCTGATTCCGCTAAGATCACCTTCACTAACCCTAGCAACATCTCCAGATCCTTTCAAACAGCGAAGAAAACGACAGCTATAGTGAGGGTTGATTTCAGCTACTGATTTTCAATTTGGGGGGAGGGACGAAAATGGCAAAGCTGAAGGTTTGGTTGGTGATTGACTAAGTTGAGGATTTCTGAAGCTAAGCATTGCTACCTTACTGGAGTTTTTTTTTTTTTTTTTTTCAATTTTCAACTTAAAACAGCATCGTTTCATCAGTTGAAGGGCAAAAAGAAAAAAAAAAAAATCAAACCAAGCAACCCATCTACCTAACTGGTTACCCAGTTTTGACCGGTTGAAACCGGTTTTAAAACAGTTTGACTGGGGGTGGTTTTTTATCAAACTAGACCAAACAAGCAACCAGTTTACCAGTTACACCGGCCAATTTGGTCCGTTTTTTTTTTTCCTTTGGTCTTAACAACTTTGTGCTGGTGTTCATTACTGTCAAGAAATGAATATGATACCCAAGTTTCTTGCGCAGAATATCAATAGGTACATTCTTCTTCCTAGTTACTCACCATATAGAATACAACAAACCCAAAGGAAAAATGAAAATAAAACATCTTACTACATAAGACCAGATTCATAAGCAAAAATCAGAGGACCGAAGTTTCTGCTAAAAAGCCTTTTGGTTAGAGAAAGGTTTGATTGATCTCAGACAACTTCATACACAATGTAACACTTGTCCATTCAACCTTCATAAGCTTACACGTAGTCTAATAGATCCTGCTGGTCCTCCAAATCCCAAATCACCACTCTTCCATCCAAACCTACAGTATCAAGGGGTTCATTACAAAAAGGACAATGCTAAACAGGCAAAGATATAACTGTTCAATAATCACCTAAAAGTAATTGTTAGTTTTCACTGACCTGATGTGCTGAAACGCCTGACCAATGTTCCACGCTCTCCAAGAGGCATGATACAACTACAATCCAAAAAAGACATTGGTGATACACTAAACTTACGATAGTTTTAAAAATGGTTTTGGTTGTTCAAATACTGCCTAGCCCAATAATTGGACAACCGGAATGCAAACGACCACATTTAGGGTTGAAGAAGAAGAGCAACTCAGAAAGAACATTTATAATATCATCAATCATATTTGGGAGGATGAAGTCATGATGAAGATGAGAAAAATACTTTATACAGTTCTCATGAACGCCTCCACGTATTTTTGAACTCTCAACTGAGTCGTTGTTCATTCCATGCTTGGATTGGCCATAAAATTTCCCAAATGCTTCAGAGAACTAACAGAAAGACAGGATCAAATAGAAGTGGGGAAACCCAAAACTAGGGTTAGTAAAAATAAGATATACGCCATGCTTAACTAATATAGTTATATCCAATGACCTTCCATTATGATATCTGAGCTAGATATGGCTTTCACTAGCCGGCTTAGGCATATAACAAACAAATGTAATTTACCTGCGATCCATATTTTGATCCAGATGATATTGCTTTGCTTTCTCCAAGATATCTTACGAAACTCCTAAAGGACAAAAAATAGGAAAAAAAGAACAAGAATAAAGTGAGGCATAAAAAACAGTCAACTTCTCTTCTACATGAAGTCAAAGCCCAGGATACAAGCCTAGAATATAAAAGATCCAAATATTGGATATGCTCAAACTCATTGAGTAGTTCATTTTTCAAAATAAAGTGTTAATCCTAGAAATCACCAAAAACAAAATTGCATACCATATTCCTCTATCGTCAGCAGCAAAGATCATTGGAGTACAATCGAAGCCCACGCCAATTACCATTCTTTCAGAAACAAATAATACCTAAAAACACGTCATACAATGACCACCAATTCCAGAAACCATCAGTGAATAAGTTCAAGAAAATCATCAGATGCTAAAAAAGGTTAGAAAGAGTGGATGCTGACCCACATCACGGAGTGGCAAATCACGGAAGGCAACATTTTGGGCCAAAGGAGAAGGGCCAACATCATCAACAAAATATATCATAGAATTATGACCTGCGTAATGAATAAAGCAGATAAGCTAGAATGAAAAACCCAGAGAAGACCTTATAAAATGAAACAAATGCACAAGCGAGTGCGCACACATAAAGTGAACCCTTCAGTAGTGCACTGGACCAATGGGATGAAGTTTGTTTGACAAACGCTGCATGTTGGGACCCAAGTCTGAAAATATCAACTGCCCAATTGACTTGATACAAAACGGTACCCATGAATTGTTCTTTAAGTTCAAAACTCACATAAAAGAAATATTTATCCCAACCTTTTTAGAGAAAAGGAAATATGACGAAGTACATGGATAATATTTTTGTACACCAAAGCAGCCTCCCATTCCGAACAATGCTAACTAAACCACAGTAGATGTTTTCTATCATACAAACAACTTGAACAAGAAAAAAAAAATGACGACTAAACAAAAAGGCATATAGCTGGCAACCTTACTTTCTGCCAGGCAAAGCATAACACACAAGAGGAGAGAGTTTTCTGACCTACATAAGCCAATGTATTGCCACTTGGTGACCACTTGACGCCAAATGCCCATGATAATGATAGATCAAGCTGGATTATTAACTGTTGCACAAGAACAGTACAAGTCAACTTATGCTGCCCCGATCATATATTCTCTGTTCTGAAGGGAACCCTGTGCCCTGGGGTGGGTGGGTGAATAATGGAAATCGTCAAAACAAGTTTGCCTCTGTTGAGCCAGCCTCGCCAAGCCACATAAATGGGTGAGCTAGTATATCATTAACTATCCCAAATGGGCTTAGGTGAACTGAAGCCGTTTATTGAGAGGGCATAGCTTAGTCCAGCCTACCAAAAACATAGCCCTTAAGGACTGGAGCAGGCTGGCTAAAATGAGGACATTGCTTAGAGGACCATATATGCAAACCATAAAAGCACTCTCTAATGTGTCATGAGCAAATAAAAAATATAAAACGAAAGAATACCAAATCTTCAATACTATGAACAAAAATCACATGTTTAACTGTAAACTATCAAATACCTCATCACATATAAATATTTTTGAGGAATAACTAGAGAGCATATGGACTTCCTAGGCTATGTTTGGCATGCAGAATGTTAGGTATTGAGAGATAATGATGGAAAATGATCCATATTCCCCCGGTAAAGTTATAGAAAGGGACAAACACCATTGAATAATGACAACAGGATATAGCCATTGTATAAATAATTTGTGTCTCATTTTACATGATTCCAATCAACTATCCCTTTCCCACACAGTACCAAACATAGCCAAAGTTTAAATAATCTTTTGCTGAATTCAGCTTCAAACATCTTGTGATGTTAGTGTTAATCCACCAAAAGATGCAATCGATTATGTATCTGTTCAAACATGTATATATTCCACCACAAGTAAGAGATGATACTGAACCTCTCCAAACTTCGCATCGGATGAAGTGCCCCCTTTTGATTCCCTGTCATAATTCATCAAGCAAAATTAAATAATATAAAATAAACATCAAAAGGAAACACAAAAAGCTAACCATGCACAGAGTTTCATATAACATACTTTGCATCTACACCTTTTATTAAGGTGGAGAATACTCGGCATTTTCCATCCGTAGATGTTGTTGCAAGCAGAATCTGCCAAAAAAAGGTGAAATTATGATAAATAATTGAAATTTTCATATCTTCAGCTGCAGCTAAACTCATGACGTCGTAGCTTATTCAGTAATTCTTCAATCTATTTTAAATTTCCAGTTATGGGGAACTAATAATGCATTTGTATCCAGCAAGTTAAATAAAACTGACCCTGACAAAAGTCATAGTCCCCCTCATTTCCATCAGACTCCTAAGATATAAAACAAACTTACTCCTTATAAGATTAAGTTTTGTAGAGAGATGCCAAAAGACTACATCCCAATAACTGACTTAGCTTACAAGAGAATGACAACACAAAATTACGAGAAACATTTACAATGTATGTAAACTTTTATATAAAGGAGAAAAGGGCAGAATGCAAACATTATTGGGATGCCAAGAAACGCTTGTCACTGAAGAGTCATGTTTTTTCCGTATTAGTTTACTGACCCACCTGCAAGGCGATGCAAATTTTTATCAAAAGAACGTAATGCTCAAGCAGCTTCCAGGAAATAATAAGAAATCTTGCATTATACAATAAGCAGGCAAAACTACCATGTTGGCCTTGAAAGATACTACCACGACAATTTAATCCCAATGTTTTAAGAAATGCATCAATTAAGTCCTGTTTTAGGGCTAAATTGATGTGATGACGTCATTTGAATCCTTCAAAGACTAAGTTGATGGCAATAAACTTTTAGATCACAGTATATGGGATTGAGACTCAGTTGATTTCAATAAACTCACGTCCAATATGATAGTTAACTCATAATTAGCCAACTACCCAAGGTAATTAGGTTGTAAAATTATAATATCTATAACATGCTTTGAATTCTAAGATAAACTGCTAGAGTTTACAATTTTTAGGAAGAGGATAAACATGAAAGCTACCCACCATGAATCAGCAAAGTAACTCAAGTTTTATACATCTCATCCATAGAAGGTGAGAAATATAAAATTTCCTTCATTTTCTTTTATCCCACTGGGAAAGGACAATATAATATCAATAAGACTTGGATCATGTTTCATTCTTTTGGCTGTTTTGCTTCATTCTCTTTTAGTTTTAGGAGGCCGTTTTATTTTCCTGTCTTGTAATTCTCTTTCTTCATAACGCTACAATGTAATGCATAAAACCATATTGTATTGTTCAGTCCATCTTGATTGATATAGAATCATACAATAATAGTTTTCATAAAAGCAAACTTCTCATAAATAATGAAATCCTTGAGAGATTCTCAAAATATGGTCTCAGCAGATCCAAGTGGATCCAGCAAGAACTTGACAAAAATAAAGCACGTGTAAAGTAACCATCCCATGAAAAATATACACAAGTGATATTATCTATGTATAGATAATATAGCTAAAAATGCCAATGGATATTAATATATCATCATTTTTTTAATAAAAGAAATCAAGCAAACAGATATTTGACTAGCCAGTGAATTAACATCAAAATAAAGCACCAGAGAGAGTGAGAGAACTTTACCAGTTGTTCTCCTGTTCATAGTAGCATACACAAACAGTTTTGGCCCCACTACCGACTGCAAACTTGTTTTCTGCCAGTACAGAATTTAGTAAATGTACTAAATTATGAATTCCAATGAGGGAACTCGTTGATCAACAGTGTATTTCAATATCACAAAATAATAGACTAAAATATTATCAAAAATTACTTAAACAGCTAGTGATATGATATAAATGGCACTAGATACAAAAGATATAAGTAACTCTAGTTAAAATTACAATTAGCTCACGGCAACAAATTCATCGCAAACAAAAACCCATGCAAAAAGTTTCATCGCACAAATCCATGCATGTCTTTGAGGAATATAAAACTATAAGAATGGGGATAGACACAAGAAGCCAAGAGTCACCACAATACAATTTGTGGCACCATGAGGACATTAAGAATAAATTAAATACAATAATAAAATAAAAAAGATTAGACTTTGTTACAAACATAATAATAAGACAGCAGTTATTATCAAATTTCTCATATAAAAAATATTCAGTAATGTAGATATGCTTCTGTAAACCGAACATTCTCACTTTGCCTATCACCTAGGCTAAAGAGGCGGTTATTTCTGCTCAAATTCCATGAAATAGAAAATGTCTTGAGACAACCAGATCTTGTTTTAACAACCAAGCAACAGATTTACTAGAGATGGTTCATGGTAACACCTACATCTTCCAAATAACATGCAACAGTGCTTCCTACCTTTTGGACTCCACTGAACACAGAGAGCAGCACGGTTGAGCCTGAGGATAACTAGAGTTGGCACCCATTCTGATCCTTCAAGGTTCCAAACATATCTATAGAGGAGGACATGCTGATTTTATTTTAGCGCGTTTATAACATGAGCAAATGCAGAAAAAAAGTAGCTAAAACAAACTCAAAGCTTAAGCTTCTTTGTATTAAAATATTCACTAAGTATAAATTATCCAGTGTTTCAAAAATTAAACCATGTGGGCACTCACGAATTCCGATCATGGGATGCAGTCACTATTCTGTTTGTTCTTGTACTCCAGTCTATCCCAGAAACTATTTGGTCGTGCTGTGAAAAAAATAAATGAAATTACTTCAAAACTAATGATAACATATCCAGTGAAACTGCTTTGAGTTCATTGCAATTGAGGATAAGAAAAGTTACCTTCTGAAGTGTATGCACTTTTTCCCATTTGTCTTCAAACAATTTGTAGATGTGCACTTCATTATTATTGGGACAAAATGCAACCACTACAAAATAAATAAATAAATACATAAAATATATGTTATGGCCACTCAAATATTTAGAAAGCTGCAATCACATGCCCTAAAGACAAACAGCCTATGGTATATTAAACCCATCAAAAGTGTCTCCTTTACCGTTTTTTAAACCTAAAGCCTAGATCTATATGGAGAAGGCTCTTCAATGGTGTGACATGTATCTCCAACAAGCCCCACGAAAATTTAATACAATGAATGGAGGAAGAAGAGGTTCAAGCATATCTGTAAGTTTGCATTGTTTAGGTCACTAAAGAGTCTCAATTTTATCCCTTGTTTTTCCTTTTGGTCAGGGATGATCTCTTCTCTATCTTTGTATTGTCTTGTATTACTCTCTCTTCTTGTCAATAACTCCTTGACGTGTCAAAGATATATATTTATATATATATATATATATATATATCCATGACATGTTATTATTATTAACAAATTACTAAATGAAAAATAAAAGAAACAACTTCCAGGAGGTTAGTACCGTCCCAACTTATCACGTGATTCGGACGCCTAACGTCTACTAACGAAAAGGCAAGATACGTTATCAGATTATAATTTCCCTTTGCATGGTAATACAGGCACAGCATGAAATATTATACTTGTAGAAGCTTTTAGTTATGCAAGTTCCTGCATAAATCCAGCATCGATGTGGAAAATGTTCAAATAAGATTCATTAACAAATCCGAATAGCCACCAAAGGATCAATCAGTTGCCTAATCAAAAAGGTTGCCAGTGGTAATTTTAACAGTGTTTAATCCGAATTGCATATCTTCCACTTTCAGCAAAAAAGGCATAGTAAAGCACATCGCAAGTCATTTCTACATTTAAGGAATCCAAATCCAAACTACATATATAATTGAAGAAAAACTGCACTTTTGACTTGAACTTGACCTCAACAGATCAAAGGGGGAAGAAGTTGGGTACAAAACATCCCACTGGAACAACCACATCTATTCATCTAAAGTAAGTTTCCCAGAACCATCAAAACAAATAAATGCAATTCCATAGCTTGAAATCATAATCACAAAACAGCCCAAATCGAAAGCGAGAAGGTGATGGGAGTGATGTATTACTGGATTTGTCAGGGCTCCAAGCATGGCAAGTGATACAGTGAGCGAAGTGTTGGACTGCGATCGCCGTCATTGTTGTCCAAGATGCCAGGAACTGGAAGCAAAGAGAATGGGTGTATGGGATCGCTAAGCAACAGGGAAAAGAGAAGAACACGGGAGAATTTGTATGTGGCGTATGAAAAGGAGAAGGTAAACGGGAAATTGGAATGCTATTAGCTACCAGTGTCGTTGGTGACGTCTGGTGCCCGATCACTTGTCCTACCGATGAATTCTTTTTTTCTTTTTCTTTTACTTTAGCTTCCCCTATATCCTCGGCTTTTGCCTTAAAAATTAAAAATAAATTTTTGTACTACCTGATGTTTAATATAAGATTTTATTTGATTTTTATTTTAATTTTAAATATAAGATTTCAATCTACTTTGTCTCTCATATTTATATACTCCTCCGGTCCTTATTATAAGACCCAATTTGACTTTTTATTCGGTCCTAATTATAAGACCCAATCCATTTTCTCTCTTATATTTATGCATTTTTTTTCCAAAATAATCTTTCTAATAATGATAGTTTTAGCCAATATACTTAATTAGCAAGGATATTTTAGGAATAACAACACTTATTTATAATAAATAACCAACTTAACTTACTTTCTTAATCTCCTCAAATAAGTCAATTGGGTCTTATAATTAGGACCGGAGGAGTATTTTTTTCAAAATAATCCTTCTAACAATAGTAGTTCTAGCCAACACACTTGATTAGTAAGGATATTTTAAAAAAGACAACATCTATTTGTTACAAATAACTAATTTAACTTCTTTTCTTAATCTCCTCAAATTAGTCAACTAGCTCTTATAATTAGAACCAGAGGTAGTATTTTTTTTTTATCCAATTTAAAGATTTACAAAATTTTCCCTTTTTGTAACATAATTTTAGGAACATGCTTCTTCAGACAAATTGACAGAATCTACTTTAAACTTTCAAAGTGACCTCAAGAAAACAAACCCATTTGTTATTTGATGTTTTTTTTTAATTCGACATTTTTCGTGATTATGCTAAAATCTTTAAATTTAACAAGAACATAAGAACAATGTTATAAAAATGTATTGAAATCCAATACTATTTATTTATTTTTCACAGAAAAGGGTTAAATAATCATATCATCTGTTTAAAGAAAACTAACCAGAACAAAAGCTCTTAGACGAAGAGACGATTAATTATCCCAAAACCTTTTTCTTTGCTTGTAAGCAAATAATCATTATGTCCACTTGTTAAATAAAATAATAAAAATTTATTGCTTGCTTAACAATATAAACGACCATGACAATTTGCTATAGTTCTGTGTAGGGCACCCAACTTATTTTTTAAAAAATAGCAGATCAATCTTTCTTTTTTCCTCTTTATATTTATTAGGCAAAATGCGGATGATGGGAGAATGACACGTATCAAGCACAACATATATATATATATATTATTATGTTTGTATTCGAATTAAATTTACTTTATAATATGTTGAAACTATAATTAAAAAAGTTCTTTTTACTGGAGAAATTATGATTTTATATTCGATGCATTCAGAGAAAAATCTAGAAAAATGATCAAAGGTGCAAAGGGTAAATTTAACTTCGCATTCTTTTGGGCCACTCTAATAACATGATTGCATAATCATGAAAAAATACTACTTCGGTCCTTAATGTAAGGTCTAATTAATTAATTTAAGTAAATTAAGAATGTTTGTTAAATTAGTTAATATAATATGTTTTTTTTTAAAACGACTTAAATATCTTTCTTAATTTTTTCACTCCCTCTCCTATTTGATTATTATTGGAAAAGTATCAATAAAGTTAATTTAGAAAAAAAAAATTAATGAACATGAGAAATAGATTTTATATATATAACTAATACCAATTCCCTAATCAGCTCCTATCTTGAGCACTCAAGGAGTACCGTTTAAGGACCCAAACTATAAAATATACTATTTATTCCATGAAAGTTACACCAAATTGAAGTTACAACTTTTCTACGGACAACTTTCACTTGTTTGTTAATGGAGTATGTAAATAACAAGGTAGGCTGATTATCCAATGAGAACAGTCCCATGCCATGTTGCCATGTTGTGGCATTGTTAAGAGAAACCAACACATTTTCTATTTCTAATATCCTCCCATATTTTCTATTTCTGTCCCGAGTTATGAACTAGAGGAATCAGTATCTGGGTTCTGCCAGAAGTGATTTCTTATGGACCTGTGTTTGGAACTACTTGCAGAGTATCCTGGGTCAGAAAGCAAATCCTGAATATCTGTTTGGCCTTCAAGCATGCTCACAACTTGGGACATTTTTGGCCTAAGTGTGGGGGATGCATTGGTACACAAGAGAGCCACATTTAGCATAACCATGGCCTCCTCAGTTGAATAGTCTGATCCTAAGTCTGGATCAACCAGCTCCAGTAGATTTCCTCTCTCTTGCAGAACATTGGCCTGAAAGAAGCTTGATTTTAAGGACAAGAACTATTATAGTTGATAAAAAGATGTCACATTTCAATTTTTATGCTATTTGACAATAGGAATAATGGTTTCAAGTAAATTATGGTTTACCCAATCAAGAAGGTAAACGAATTCTTCATTGGGTCTATAATTTGTATTGCTCTTTCCACTGATAGTTTCCAATATAACCACCCCAAAGCTATAAATATCTGCTTTGTCAGTCAAATAGCCACGCATTGCATATTCAGGAGCCATGTAACCACTGCAAAATAACATCAATGAAAATGTGTAAGTATATATTATGATAACAAAATCAAAAGAGAGCAGGTTGAAATTGTGATCATTAGTAACGGATGAGGTAAGCAAGAGATATGTATCAATATGAGATAAACTTACATGGTTCCAGCAACTCGAGTGCTGATATGTGTATTATCACCTTCTTCATTAAGTTTTGCCAAACCAAAATCTGAAACCTTAGCATTAAAATCTTTATCTAGCAAAACATTACTAGTCTTTATATCCCTGTGTATGATTTTTATTCTGGACTCTTCATGCAGATAAGCCAAAGCTCTAGCTATACCAAGGCAAATTTTCCTCCGCGTTGTCCAGTCTAGTTTTGCTTTGCAGGCTGGATCTTTTCCTGCATATAATGTGATTGGGAGAAAGCTAATTAGTTTTTGGACTTGACCATATGTTGATTCAGGCAGCAAGAGATAGTTAAGGTGGTTGAGTAAGAAGCTAACCAAAAAGTGCACGTGATAGACAATTATTTTCCATATACTCATATATCAGTATCAATTGGTTCCCTTCCACACAACATCCATAAAGCTTTACAAGATTGGGATGTTGAAGTCCAGATATCATTCCTATCTCATTCACAAACTCACGGTTTCCTTGCTTGGATTTCGAGGAGAGTTGTTTTACTGCAATTACAGTGCCATCGGATAGCAGACCCTGCATCAGCAACAGTGTATATATGATTTCTTACAAGCATTCTACACATGAAAATAAGAATTAATAGCTAATGCTTGTTCATGATTTTTCTCATTCCTTTAAGCGCCAAGGGCTTGCTAACTAATGAGTGCAGTGCGTGGAACAGATGGGAATTCGTTGTATAGAAAAAAATTTTACTTTTAAGTATCTGGAGATATAGATATCCCATAATGCACATCTAGTTTCTCAGGTCAAGAAACATCAAAACTTGACTATGTAAGACAAAATTGTAAATCAAGAATATGCACCGGAGGAGAATTTAAATACCTTGTAAACAGAACCAAAGCCGCCTTCTCCAAGTTTGTTAGTAGCATCAAAGTTTTCGGTTGCTGTTTTGATTTGTCTTAATGTGAATAATCCTGTCTGCAGGTCTATTCCTCTTAGCTCTAGGAAAAAGTGTAAATTTGAAAGTCAACAAAGAAAGCTTATAATTTCATCCATATCATATGCTACCATATTCCATTTTATTTCAGATCAGAATGAGGCGCAAATGAATTTTAATCTAAATTCCATTTTCTATTAAAAAAATTAAAATAGAAATATAAGAATTGATTTTGAAATATGTCAATGCAACTAACTACAGCTTGGTTGGGTTGTAAGAATTTCAACAACTTATAAGAGAGATTTCAAGTTTGAGCCTTGTCAATAGAAAAGTTACATTGGGAGAGGTTCTCTCAATTGGGACCCGGTCCAACTAGAATCCAGATTACTTATTAGTACCGGATCCTGATTTTTTAAGAGGAAAAAAAAAAAGCCCAAATGAAAAGGGTATTGTTAATTACGTTTTGTCAGATGTATCACATACCTTTATACACGGAGTCTTGACCTCCTAACCAGCCCTTCCACCTCATGATACCTAGGAGCATCAGAACAAGAAGCACAAGAGCAGCTAACATAGCAGCTACCAATATAATATGCCTTCTCTTTCCAATCCCTGGTGATGGAGGTTTAAAATCTGCGCAAAAAAGCACTTGTAAATTTCATGGGAAGCCAAAGCATAAAATCCAATCTTTTCCTTTTGCCTACATATTTAATTTTTCTTGTGCATATATTTTATCGACGTTCTTTGCTCTGTTACTTTTGTTAATCTTGCAGTTACTAGATATGGCAGGATTAAGATCCCAACTCAAATGGATGCATTCAAGTTATAAAGATGGAAGATGATATATACATGATCTGTCATTCGCCTAACAGTCTGTGAAACCAAAGAAATAGCAAACTGTAAGCAAGAACAACGACATTAGGAGGGAATTTTTGTTCTCATCTTGCAATTTTTATTACATTTCTTTTCACTCTCATGTAGTTGTGTCCTGTTACGCTTTCCTTCTCTGTAACTTCTTAACATTAACTATCTACATATTAGTTAATTAAGGTGAAAAAAAAATCTTTGGACATAGCATCCAACCTTGCAATAACCAATGAACACTTGATGTCATTTTAGTAAGCAACATACATTTGTCACAAACGCTGTCTTCAGTCAATCCATAGCTAGTTTGAGATCCGGATACATATTGATGCGATGGTTTCTTTTTTACAATTATTATCTCTTTAAAGCATAAAATTTGGAGAAATGACAAAAAAAAATACCCGTTAAATTTCAAAAAGACAAATAGGTCATATTGTCTATTCTTATGATAGTTTTGACTACTTTTATAATAATTTTGACAGGTCAAAATTTGTCAAAATCAGCTATTTGTCATTTTGAAATTCAATGGGTATTTTTTTTTTTGGGTCAGTTTCCCTAAAAAGTTCAGTAACTTCAATCTAAAACCAAGTTTAGGCACTCTGTTCAAGCAAAGAAAAACACAATCATACAGATTTAGATCATCATACTGACTTACTAGGATCTACTGATATGGCAGATATCAGAGGTCCATAAATCCCTCTGGTCGGTATGCCAGTCGTCCCCTTTCCAGCATAGTAGAAGTGAATCTTCAAAGAATGTTGCGTGACAGTGGCATTAAATGTCTTCACAATTGGCTTTCCAGTCCCACCAGCTTCTTTCTCAATATTGAAGTCCTTTAGGACCAACTTCCCCTTCATTGAATACATTCCATCTATATCAATACACAATTCTATGGAATTCCATTATTTGACGTTTGCAAATCTTGTAGAAAAAAGATACCTGGATATAGACGTTAAATACACGTCTCCCAAGACTGTAAAATGATCTATCATTGACAAACACAATCTCTGCGAAGTGAAGCCTAACAGTGTAGTTTCCATTCATTAGACAGAGTCCATAGTAAGTGAGAGAAAGGGGAGACAAACGAGCTGTCCTGTATAGTTCTGAAGTGGGAGCGGAGACACGGAGAAGTTTGGAAGTGTTGGTCACAATATAGGGATCAGATTCAATATTATTGTCCATGAAGTTCCCGGTGCTGCTGAGAGCCCAATTCCGGCCGTAGTAAAACATTGAAGCACCTCTTTGTTCTCTGTCCCTTTCATAAATAGTACCATTGATATTTTCTTCCTTGCCACCGCAGTTAATGTGCAAGGAGTGGTCTGTTAAAAAAACAAAGTCAACCAGGATTGGCCAAAAAAAAAAAAAAAACCTTCATAAATAATAAATTCAAAGCAGTTGAATAAAGTTTTTAAAATAATTTTCACTGGAATCTTGCTGCCATTTGCACCATGCTTCTACTTATAAACTAAAGTTTGCAAAAAATTGGGAATATCAAGCAACTATTGGACTAAAACCTTTAGCAAAGGTATTACATCCTTCAAACATAATTGTTATCGAATCATCCTCTTGTTTTGAGTTCCTTAGAGACTAATCAGTAAATCCTCCATCTCCAAAGGAGACTCCATACATAGGAAAATAAACAAAGAATCAATTCAATTATGCATTAACCGTTAGGGGTGGGGAGATTTCTATCCGATGGCCATGTCTCTCATTTATGTCTCTCTTACCACTGAAGGAGCTTTCATTAATTATTCTCGTTTAAGAAGATGAAGTCGTGATACAAAGCATGGGTAAATTCTCCATCTCTAAAGAAGACCCATATATGGAAAACTCAACCAAGAACGAATTCAACCATATGAGCCATCAGGTTACAGGTTTTCTATTAATCATCATCTCCCTCATTTCTGTGTCTTGGACCACTGAAAGACCCTTCACTAATTAAGCAAAATCATGAAAGAGGACTCCTTTACCACTCTTGTCCTTTCTCTCGTTATGTAGTCCCTTTCAGCTGGGTATTTATCGATTTTGATAACTGAAGTGCAAGTTTCACAACGGGAATCATTACCGAGAAGTAACCCCACAGAGAAAACTATCTGAAAACCATGTAGTATGGTTAGATGCTTACATTGGCTGTCCAAATGTGAGCATGGAAAGTTCTTTTTCAAGCACGAGTGAACATTTTTTCTGCAACAGGGAATGAAATTTAAGATCATGTCTTGAATATAAAATTAAAAAATACTAGCAAAGAATATATAGTTTGAGGAGAGTTCCTCTAATAGTAAAGGGTGAGCCTTGAATTCCAAGCACAAAAGCCTTACTGTTTATCCACAGAAGAAGAGTAGCTCTCCACTAAATTTCTGGAAAAATAATAGAAAACTTGTAACTGTCGTGAACTTGTGAACGTTTCAGAATAAACAGAGATCACAGCATAAGTGAAACTCACACACTCCCTCTTGGACATTCAACTGGACTCGAGCTGTCCCAGCTAAAGTTATTGTCAGAAATATCACTGCACAACAAAATATATGAAAATTGTTTATATCATCAACAGCATAAGCAGCTCAGAACTAAGGTAAAATTTATTTCTGACTGATGTATACACTGTGGTCATTGAAGAAAATGTCAAGAGCAGAATATAATCAGTCAACATACACATTTGTATTACTTCCAAGAACCCAGCTCGGTATTGTCCCTGTTAGCTTGTTCCCAGTAAGATATCTGCATTCACAAGGTAATTTTGCTCTATTTAAAATGAGAATGAGATGTTTGAACAAGGCATTCCACCCATTCCATCCACTTACATGAAGTCTACTTTGTCGAGCTGGTCAAAAGAGACATGTATCCTTCCAGTCAAGTCATTGAAACTCAAGTCTCTACAATAACCGTAAATATGAAATAATTTTCGAATGAAAAATGAACCAAACCTGTTAAATCCCTAAAGAATGTCTGCAAGATATATGCAAGATCATCTTATTCATGTTCATGCCATGAAATCTCTATTCATGTCTATGAAATTTGCATGTGTTTCTAACTGTCTTTTATTGCAGAAGAGATTCATTCTATTGATAGAAGGAAAAAGCACAAAGGACATAAAAGCCGTAATTACAAATTTTCCAACAAAATTTACTGAGGAAAGCCATCTGTTGGACTACTTACAAGATTTTCAGTTTGTTCATATTCCCAATAGAGTAGGGGATTTTTCCTTTGATCAAGCATCTCCTCAGTATACTGCATTATAATACCAAGTCAAAATAAAATACAGTTACTTTCGAAGAATTACAAGAGAAAGAGAAAATATTTGGGCCATAGAGCTTACAGGGTCCTCAATGATTTCATATAGCCCAATGATGGGAAAGATGAGCTTCTACCTTTCAGATCAGTTATCCTCCTAAATATTGAAGAGCAAAAGAGTTACTCGACATATTCATTTTCCATGACAAACGAAAATGAAGAATTACATTGTCATACAAATCACTTAATCTTCTCAAGGCAGAAATGGTGGAAGGTATGGGTCCCTCAAGCGAGCAACCCTCAATGTGCCTGTAACAAAAGAAAAGTGATATGATAGGTGAACAACAGAAAATATTGCAAAGAGTGAAGAAGAAACGCATGATAGAGAATCTTACAGCTTCTCAATAGATGTCAATTTGCTAATGAAATCGGGTATCCTCCCAGAGAAATTATTGTCACTAATCCTCCTAGAAATGTAGTTTCAAAACAAGTTAGTAAGCAAGCTAGGAAATGCTACATTTGAACAATAAAATAGCCATAAAATTTTTGGATTAGAAAATGCAATTATTATTTTTCTCATTGAATAGAAGCATTGATCATCGATTAACTTCAAACGCTTCTGCAACTCGCATTGACGAGCAAACGGTTCCTATATTAAATATTAATGCGAGTATGAGTGGCTGTTAGTGTTTGTCATTGTTGCTCATTTATCCACTAATGATATCAGTTTTATTAGCCAAGCAGTTTGCAAAACATGGACTATAAATTAATTATTGATAGGTACAGTCTATAAAAAGTCGCGTGATAGTATTGAACATATGACTCATGTCGGACTCTGTGCAAAACACGGTCCAACTTTGGTTGAAAACAGAGACTTACAAATCGGTCAACTTGGTCAACTTTGAAAGTGCGGGTGGCAATTCTCCAGTGAATGCATTTGATGACAGAATGCTAAAACACATCACATTGTCCATGTTAACAGTAGAGGATGATATATCATGGGAAAAATGGCATTGGCATTAATAAACAATAGTGAGGGTTCAAAAGAATCACATTTTTTCTAAATTGACCAAGTTTCCAATCTCTGGAGGAATGTGGCCTGAAAATAGGTTCCCTTCAATACTCCTGTAACATTTACAAAGATACTTTCCTCAAACGAAGAAACAGAAGCAATTTGTAATTACACTAAACTGGCAACTCTGCAGTAGCCATGCCAGGCTGCCCCTGGGAAGCAGCAGAAACTGTGTGTAGAAAAGAAAGTTCAGATATTCAACCAAAAAAAAAAAGAAAAGAAAGAAAAAGAAAGTTCAGATGGAAGAAAAAGCTTCAGCTTAATTCGTAATGAATAAATTTGGGTTAACAATTGAATTGGTAGACCAAATTAATAACATATGTGTTTCTTTTTTCTCTTCACAATAAGGCATTAACCAACGAACTAAATCTCAATTGACATAAATGCAAAACTGCAAATAAACACAACTTTAATGAAAACAGAAAATGGTTCTTAACATACAGGTTTCTGAGGGTTGTGATATTGGTGAGAACTTTAGGAAAAGGACCTGATAACTTGTTCCCCATGAGATTGCTGCAAAGTCATTGACAAAAGCTGATAAACCCAAGTTGGTTTGCTTATAAATAAGCTATTTAAGAGAAAGACGGTGAAAGAAGAGAGAGCACAGAGAAATTGTTCTTACAGCTGGTCCAAGTGCAAAGCAGCCCATTGCTGAGGTATAGAACCAGTGAAGAGATTACGACTAAGGTCCCTATGTTAAAGAAGGTGCTTCACAGAATTAGGAAGCTTGACCAATTCATTTTGAATATAAAAATGGCATAGTGACATAGAGCCCAAAGTAACAAAGAATCATTTAGTTTCACAAGAGAGGATTGGTTTATCTCACAATTGCTTGAGATGCTGAAGCTTGGAAAACTCTGGTGGAAGAGTACCGGAAATATTCTGAGCCTTAAAAAGTCTGCAGATATAAAATGTGGAATAAAGTAAAATTCAGAACTAATCTTGGGCAAGAACGTCTTGAGAGATAAAGGTTCATAATCTGAGTTGCTAATATGTGTTATATTTCAAAAATACAACTCATTGATCGAATCCTGCTGCATATTGAACAAACTGCTTTAGATAACTTACAGAATAGTAAAGGTCAATTCCAAATTGTGAACTCCAGAAAAGAGAAAAGACTAATCGTAGACATAGTACTTGCAATGAATGTATTTTATTTCGATTATATGATTAGCTCGAAACATGAATCCATTCTTTCCTGTCTGAGGTATTTCTCAGTTCAAATGCCGGCGTTGTTGATTATGATTAGAGATATGCATCGAGAACAGAACAAGCAGATGAGAGTAAATCTTAGGCGCCCCAAATATGATTCCAAAACATAACATTGTGAATCTTTTTACAATACAGAAATCATGAGAGTTTCTAAAATCCCAAAATTTGAAGTAATGACAAAGTCAAAAAATTTTTGAAGTAATGTCAACGCTGGGAAGTGGTTCACAATAGTAATAGTAGTGAAGAATTCAGCTTCTCTCCAGTCTCCTCATGATAGCCATAAGGTGCTCGTGCTCTGTGTAGAATACGGGACACGACACAAATTACTACTTGTATTACTTAAGGATATCAGGACATTACAGAGAATCTGGCTGTGGAAATGAATTATAAACTCCAGTTGTATGTCTCAACGATTGTAGAAGCTTAGAATTTTAATTTTCTTAGGTTGACAATACTGTTCACCTATTACTAAAACGGTATTTGAGAAACCAAATCATAATTTTAAAAATACTTTTAATAAATATGTAAAGAATTTGTCTTATTTTAAAAAAAAAAAATTTAAAAGCATTTTTATACATTCCCAGAGACCTTACTTTGTCCTTTTTGTTTTGCAGTGCTAAAGCGAGAACCTTTTTTTTGGGCAACGGAAAGCAAACACATGCGCAGAATCAAACTTCAGAGCTGTGTTTCTTTGCTTTTTTGAAAAAATGATATGATATGGAATTCCTTTGATCCTCATACAAAATCTATTTAACTAATTTGATTAGCTAGATTTAAAAGTTAGGTAAGTTAGTTAATTATAAAAAATATAACATGTTTTTTTTAAAATACTCTAATCATCTTCCTTAATATCTTTTCTCCCTCTTTTACTTAATTATAGTTGAGAGAGATCCATAGGGGAATTTAAAAAAAAAATTGATAAATATGAGAAATAGGTCTTATATTTATGATTAAAATAACTCAATAATTAAATCTTATATTGAGAACGGAGGAGTATGATTTTTGGAATATCTTAAAATTTTAAAATTTCTTGTAAAAATGTTTACGTTTAGATATTTTGATGCACTCTTAACTTTTTCTGAAAAAGATTTGCTCACTTTATTGTTCATTCTTGTTTCGACTAGCAAGCACAGCTAACTTCGAGCTTAGACATGTTAGATCCGACCGCCTTTAATGACAGATCATGTTCGGCTAAAGAAAGAAACAAATCCACGTTTTCTTTGACCAACTGAAATCCATGTTTAATTAGTACTCCTCTAGTCCTTAATATAAGACCCATTTAACTAATTTGATTAGATTAAGGAAGTTAGGTAAGTTAGTTAATTATAGAAAAGTGACACATTTTCCTAAAACACCGTAATCATCTTTTTCAATACTCCCTCTCTTTCTTCTATTTGATTATGGTTGAGGGAGTATTTATAGGAGTAATTTAGAGAAAATTGATAAATATGAGAAATAAGTCTTATATTTAGGATCAAAACCAATTCAAGATTGAGTCCTATATTAAGGACCGGAGGAGTAATAATACTTACAAATTTGTCGGAGGAAAAAGAATTCTTCAGCTGTCTTTTTCTCGATACAAAAACAGAACCATGCAAATGTTTCCAACTATTTTTTGCTAGAAAAAAAAAATCATATTTTGACTAATTAATACAAGTGAAGACAAACTTTATGGAATCATTATTAAAGTTCAGCCACCACAATAGTTCATCTAAGCTGTAGGGTTCACTAATGCATCCATAAGAAGCTTCCAAGAAAAGTACTTCTGTATTTTAAAAGATAAAATTCCTCTAATATATTTATTTCCTACAATGAAAATCATTTAAAATAAGTTAATTTAAACATGTACTTATGTGACTAATGAAATTAGGGAGAATTACAATCAACTCTCACAGAAGAGAAATAGTTACTAAAAAATCCTAATGACAATCTGAGCAGCCTGTAATAACAAGTCTCACAGAGAAAAATGACAACCTCTAAGACCTGTTTTGTAAGTTTTTCATTCTATAAGACTTGATTGTAATTCTCTCATAAAATTAATGCCTTTAGTATCATTTCAGTCGTAAAATAGCATATAAATTTATCATTGAAATTCTTTATAGTCAAAAAATGATTTTATATGTATATATATATTATATACTATAAGTTCACTGCATAAACATCAAAAATTTAATTTGATGTGATATCTACAAGTATTTGTGATTAACATGGCAGACAGGTGAAGATTCATTAACCATGGGTGGGGAAAAAAATAAAGAAGAAGAGAAAAAGAGAAACTGTCTTCTTCCATCTCTGGTCTACACATGATTCCACGTGACCCTGTGCCTATTCTCAGTTTTTCTCTTTAAATACTGATTGATGCTGGTGATGGGTTAATTTTGCCCCCAGGATTCAAATATCATCAATTAAAATGTACATGGTGCGTATTAAAACTTTCAAAATTCAACTCTTTATTAAATCAATAAAAATATTAGTTTATAACCGATTGATTTGATCAGAGTTGGATTTGTGGTGGAATGAATTGTAATTATATATATAAATATTAAATTTACATATTGAAAATTTTCTATAGAATTAAAAATATATAGAATAATATAAAAATTAAGGGATGATTTATATTTTTGATAACAACGAAAAGAGTAATTATATAACCAAAAATCCAAAATAATCAAAGGAATATAAAGATACAAATTTTCATAATTTTAAATTAAAAAAATAGGTTTAATCAATTCGACATATTAATTCTATTAAGCTTGTCGGTGGACTCGTTTTTTCCTAAGCCAATCCAACAGGACCAAATGGGCAAATGGTTACTTATTACCTTACTGGTTACTCCATCATAAAGAGTCGAATTGACATTTGACCAGTTCAATAGAAAGTAAGAAACTAAAATCCATCAACATTTTCATTCTGAGCAGTCCTAAATATGCATGAACAGCAAAACTCTCAACTAGCCAAGAACAGAAAATGACAGATATGAACATTGAACTGTGTGTGTTGAGAGAGAGAGAGAGAGAGAGAGCAGTACATGCTTACAACATGGCAAGATGAATTGAGATTGAAGGAGCAATCACAGATAACACAGCTGGCAGAGCCAAAGCCTTTCCTCTCATCTGTCACATTCCATCTGCCTTTGCCACTGCAGGGATCTATACCAAAGTCCCACTCCTTCTTCCCCAGCTTCTTCCCTATCTCTTTCAATGCCCTCACTGCACACCACCAAACCAAACTTACTCATTCATCATCAAACACAAGATAGCGAAACCCCAAATCAAACAACTTTAATGGACAGAAGGTGAAGAAGAGAAGCAAATCAATCTGACGTTGTCTCTCCTGTCCAGAAACCGCACTGGCTATACAATTATATATATCTATTCTTTTGCTATGAGAAAAATCAAATGAATTAACAAAGTAGATGGAAGAAGGAGGAGGAGGAGGAGGAGGAGGAGCTGAAGCAATCAATCTGTTATTGTTTCCCCTGGCAGAAACAAGGGATTGGCAATACAAGTATTCACTATTTTGATATGAGAAGCCCAAATGAATGGGCAAGGATGATAGAAGAATATGGAAGAAGCTGAAGCAGAAGCAATCAATCTGCTTTTGTTTCTCCAGGCCAGAAACCAGAGACTGGGAATACAAGCATATATGTTCATTCTTTTCATATATAAGAATGAGATGATGACATTTCCAGCAAAGATTCTGACAGAGGCAAAAAATCAAACAGGTGAGGAGCAAGGTGAGGAATTTGGTGTTAGTTTACCTTCATTAATGGTGAGCTTGGGTGTGGCGGCGAAAGCGATCGGTGGGAGGAACATGAAGATTGAAGTGGAGCCAAGGAGGAGGAGGGAAAGCAGAAGATGGGGACATCCCAGTTTGAGCTTCATGGGAACTCTGAGATTTGAGCTCACAGGTCATGAAGCAGGGCAGGAAAGAGAGGAGAGTCATATTTATTTGAGATGAAAACAGACAGAGGAGGATATGGATGGGGAGGCTGCTGGGGAAGTACTGGAATGCTACAGTGACAAAACACAAAATAATATCTATGAAAGTAGGGGGGGACATCATGCTCATGCATACACAAGTGGGATACACGAGCAGGTTTTAATATATACTATCGCTCTGTATAAAGCTTATAATTGATTTACAATATAATAACCAAAAAGTTGGTGTGCATGCATGCATAAAATGATTCAATTAACTATATATATAAGTTTTTATTTATTTATTTTGGACTTGGATTTGATACTAACTCAGGACCGGTTGCTGATTTTATAGATATGGTTATCATTTTGTTAAATAAATTGATGTTTATAAAAAATATATATAGGATACAGTTATAAGGGTTAATTAATCCGCAAGTCCTTATAGTTTCAACGAATTTTGAATTAGGTCCCTATAGTTTTTTTTCTTTTTATCAGGTCCTTATACTTTTACCTTTTTTTAATTAGGTCCTTATATTTATTTTTCTTTTAATTAAGTCCTTATAATTTCACTAAATTTCTAATCAGGTCATGTAGTTTTAATTTTTATTTATTAATTAAATATAAGCTTAATTAAATAGATTAATACTGAAATATAAAATATTAATAATTAAATTAAATTAATAATTATGTAATAAAAAAGTAATAGAATTAATTAATTCAGGAAATTTTTTTAGAACAATTAATTTTTTTGCTGAAAAAATTAAAATCATTATAATAATTCAATATCTTTAGAATATTATTGTTTATAAACTAATATTAAATAATATATACTATTTTATGTTTATATAATAGTACTATTAGAATTTATAAAATAAAGAATAAAAAATTCAGCGACTTAATTAAAAATAAGGTGAACTTATAAGGACTTGATAAAAAGAAAAATAAATACAAGGACCTAATTAAAAACAGGTGAAAGTATAAGGACATGATAAAAAGAAAAAAAACTATAAGGACCTAATTCAAAATTAGTTGAAACTATAAGGAGCTGTGGATTAATTATCCCCAGTTATAAATAATAAAAAAATGCTATAAGATAAATTTTATATATTCCAATAAATGCATTGTTATATTGTAGAGGTATTAATATATAGTTTTCCATTCTTAACGACTTATTGAAATTTAAATAATTGTATAATATAATAATAGCAGTATTAATGAAAATTCTTGGAATATTTAATTGAGTTCACGGTGCTGCAGCTTTAATAATAAAAATAATGAGTAATATTTTGTTCATTACTTATCTATATATGTGGGTACGTACGTCTCACTTTGTCGCACTTGATTCGCAGCATTATACCATATGCGATGCTACAAATTAAGTCATTATATTCTTTTGTTCAAGTCAACTAACTGCACAATAACATTGCTGTTTCAAAAAGCCATGTCGTTTTCTTAATCCAAAAATAATTAATAATTGTAAGGAAAAATCAGGAATAAGTCCCTCATTAAAAATTTAATTGACAAATAGGACCTAAGCACTTTGTGCAACTTGACTTTTATTGTATGCAACTTAATTTTCTTTATATACAATTTATCTTTCCTTGTATGCAATAATCTTCTTTTGTGTAATGTACAACTCAATTTCCTTTTGTGCAAATGAAATTCTTGGTTTTTTTACCGGTATGCTATACACAGTAAAAAAATACCAAAATACTACGATTTTAAAAGTATTTACCAATATGCTATATTTAAAATCATTCTTGGCAAGAACGATTTTTAAATTATACACAAAGTGAAATTACTCACGCAACAAACGATTTTACTTTTTGACTGTAATATTTCAACATGCAAATCCCTCTGCAATTTCCTTCCCCTCACTTCTCTCACTTATCAACTCAACTTACTCTCCCCATGCATGCAAACCCATGAAGCTACAACAAATGTACATACTTTTGTATATTCTACTTCTTCATCTTTGATTTCTTGCTTCATTGTCTTTCATCAAGAAGTTCACTTTTCTTCTTCTTCCTTTTTGTGGTTTATTTGCTTCCAAACACTTCACAAGTATTTTTACTGCGGCTGTGGATATATTGTTTCTCCTCTCTCTCTCTCACTTTTTAATAAAAAATTTGCAACTGTAATATATAATTTTATTTTTCATTCATACTACCCTTAATGAGCTAATATTTTATCATTCTAATTTTCAGGATATGAGTAGTGAGTTCAATAATCTGGAATATTTATACTCTTTTTAAGCTAGATACCTCTTATTTTGATGGTAAATTATTATCTGCTATATTATTTTAAGATGTTAAGATTTTGATATAAGCTCTAATTTTTTTTAAATACATTCATATTATTTTTTTCCCTTATGAAAGTATACTTCTCCAAGAGTTTAAATTTGGTAAGATAAAATTGATAAATAATTATATATATACACACACCCTAAATATCAAATCTATGGTATATATACTAAGTAGGAAGTTGGCAAAAAAAAAAAAAAAGAAGGAAAGTTTGCTACACACATCAAGTGAACGATTGCTTATATATATATTTTTAGGTAAAAACAGAGTGTAAGTAACGAAAAATTAAAATGAATGAAGGACGCACATAAATTCATTTTCTTCATTTTGCCTATTCCCTGCTATTTGTTAATTTGCATTTTTGAATCGATGATGAGTATCATGACATTAGTACTTTGAATCAAAGATTTTTCTACTCATAACTGTATTGGAAGGAACAGGTTTGAGTGATAAACATGACTAATTCTTTTTAACTAGAGTGATGATAAATTCTCATATTTACTTAGATATTCTAGGAAAAAAAATTAGAGAAGAAATCTTTACTTTTGAACCCCTCATTTTAACCCAATTATTTTGGTCCGAAAGATTTTAACCTTAGTTTCATGCAATAAATTGATATTTATAAGGTATAAATAATATATGTATGCGTAAAATTAAAAAAGAAATTTCCATGATTTGTTATTTATTAAAATAATATCACAAGAAAGAATTTTAACGTTAAAAAGATGTCATGTTCTATAGGGGTGTGCATAAGGCCCGCATGCCCAATAAGCCCGCCCGAGCCAGCAAGAAAAACACCCGGCCCAGCCTAGTAAAAAGCTGCCCAAGCAAAAATGGGCATCTTCAGGTCAGGCTGATTCACGGGCAGGGCAGGGCAGCATACCCTGCCCGCAGCCCTGCCCATTTGGCCCTGCCTGAAAAAATATATAATTATATATATAAGATAATATTATTTTAAGCAATTATCTCTTTTGTTTTGGCCAAAAAAATTAGGTAAAATTAGAAAAAATGAAAGGAACATAAAATTATAATTATATAAAAGAGCTAAATATCAAAATATAAGATTCAATATGCTAAATTACTCCAAGTCAAATTTCCTTCTTTTTCTCTTACATCCAATTTTTTAAAACAAAAAAAGAAAAATAAAACCACCTTTCAAATTTTGTGCTTTCACATGATTATAAGAATCTGCCAACTATATGAATAAACTAAGGAATTGAACTACTGATTTAGCTTAATTGTTAAATATTTTTTTTTACCTCCCATAAGAAATTGAAAGCTGAAGAACAAGACTACATAGGGCTTATATATATATATGAGTGATAGACTCATTCGTGATAATTTTTTTCCTCTCACTTGTCTCAAAACACGATAATTGAATTTTGTTTCTACGTATGATATAGGGCATGATGTCATTACTTTGGGCAAAAAAGCCCGCCCTTACCCTGCCCAAAATGATTAGGGCTTCTACTGGGCAGGGTTGGGCAGCGGGCTGCATCATCTTTCGGGCTGGGCATCGGGCAAAGGGTTTGCCCTGCCCAGCCCTGCCCATGTGCAGCCCTAATGTTCTATATAGTAGGGCTGTGCAAAAACCCAGTGGTCCGGTATGGTCCGGTCCAACCCGAACAAACCCGGTCCAGTCCGGTCCAGAAAAAATTGGCCCGAAATAAGACTGGATCAGACTGGACCGGACTGGTCTCATCGGGCTGGACTGGACTAGGGACTGACCCCTCAGACCAGTTGGTCCAGTCCAGTCTAGCCCGATTTTTTTAAATTATTATTTATATAATTTTAATTTGATTTAATATTTCTATATAAATTTTTTATCTATTCAAATAATTAAGATTTATCTATTAACTTTCGAAGTAATGAGCATGCATATATATTTTCTACAATTTAAGATCTATATTGATGAGGATTAATTAATAAAACATGACTTCATTGGGAAATTGAAAAGGAATGATCAAATTTGATAAATTTTGAATTAAAATATGTGCAAAATTTTATATAGTAAGTTACAATCTTACTTCCTATCGAAGAAATTTTTTTTTTAAAAAAAATAAATTTAGGTCTCTGGACTGCCTGGACCAGTCCAGGCAGTCCAGAGGACCAAGTCCAGTCCAACCCGACCTCGGGTTGGCACTGGACTGGACCAGACCTCGGGTTGTTTTTTTCAGCCCGAGGTCTTTACTGGACCAGACTTCGGGTTGATGACAAACCCGGTCCAGTCTAGTCCATGCACACCCCTACTATATAGTGCAAACAATATATTAATTAATGATTAATATAAATAAAATTATAGAAATAGCAGAAAAAATAAAAGAAAACAAAATCTATTTCTTAGACTTATTTTTTACTTTAATTACGAACAAACAATTTACTAAAAATAGAGGTAGAGCAAATAAACCACAGAGGAGAAGAAGAAGAAGAGTAAACATCCAGATAAAAGAAGATGAAGTAAGAAACCAAAGTTGAAGAAGTAGAATATATAAAAACATGTACATTTACTGTAGTTTCACAAGTTTGCATGGAGAGAATGAGTTGAGTTGACAAGTAAGAGAAATGAATATTTGTATTTGGAAGAAAATTGCAGAAGAATTCGCATGCAAGAATATTGTAGTAAAAAAGTGAAATCGTTCTTTGTGTGAATGATTTCACTTTTTAATTTTAAAAAATATAATGTCAAAAAGTGAAATTGTTTACGCGAAGAATGATTTTACTT